AAGGGCTGCTTCTCTGGGATGGAAGCTGCAAGTGATAGTGGCACGTCAAAGGCTTCTTCTCTAAGATGGAAAATCCTCCGCCGAGCCATTCTTCCTCGCGTTTCTTCACAAAATCCTGGTACTATCTTACTGATTTCTCGTCTTGGTTGCGAAATTTGCTTTGATTATTCATCTCGATCCATGGTTGAATCTGAATTGTCTCGCAGATGACGAGTCTCAAATGGGCATTAGAAGCGTTTCGAGGAAGGCGACGAAAGGATTCAACTTGATACCGTTTCAGCTGCTGCACGAAGATTCCCAGTCTAGAGATGCCCGTCTGTGCTATACTTTACCCATTCCTGGATCTCCCAAGCTTGTCTTAACGTAAGTTTCAGTTTTATGTTTAGTTTTATGCTTCTTTTCTGCATTTCTTCGAACACATGATGTAAATAATTGTTGCAATGCAACGATATGGAACACCGCAGAATCTCTGTGCTGCGTTATATAATTCAGAGTTGTTTTCTTTTGGATTTTGAAAGGTAAATTCTTGTAATTGGTTACTTCCCATGTTCTTATTTAGGGATAAAATTTCTTTAGATGAAAGGATGGGTTTGGATTTCAATAGAATTGTATTCTAGAGTAATACTGTGAGTGTTCTGGTTCTGAAGTTCACTGTGTGTTGCATTTTATGCAGCCAAAGAGTGGATAATTGTGCTGACCTCAAAGATTTTGAGATCTGTAATGAGTATAACATTGACAATACCGGCCTTGTATGTAAGTTCCCTTTTTATCATCTGTAAGTGTTCTCCTCTTGTCTGGTGGTTGTATTTTGAGTTTACCCTTTGTAGTTTTAAAATTTTTTATTAACATTTCTTGCCAAGTTCCCTTTTTTATTAGCAAATTTTGGTGTCTGGTTCATAGCAGGAAATTGCAATTTCTTTTATGGTTCGCTAGTTTTGACTGATTGAGTTGAGAGAAATATACTGTTTGATCTTTATATAAAAGTTCCATGTAGTGCACATGATGATTACATTCTTAACTAAACAAACAAGTTTTCTTTGAAATAACTACTATTGTCTCCATATATTATCAGCTCTGGAAAAAAGAAAATGCTATCTTCTTCATGGATTTCCTTTGTTTGAAGTCATTCTCTTGGTGGATTCTGCTCCATTATTGCAAGTCTTCTTGGTAATGAAGTTTATTCAAAACAAATTTTCATTTTGATTGGAAGGGAGCATTTATTCTTGATTGATTTGTCATCTAGATAACATTATACTCCTAAAGGCAAGTTTTATCTGTAATCACAAGGTAGATCTAGGTGTAGATCTAGGTGATGTGTCAGTTAGATCAGCTTGAAGACATGAGTATTGCAGTGGAGTCTTATGGAAAATTCAATTGTTGCTGAACTTTTCCAGTCACCATCTTTCTTATTTATATTGTTTCTTCACTTAACTTAAAAGATTCTCATACAGGTCAATGGCCATCAGAAGATGTTCTTGCTTATTTTTGCTTGTCACATGCTGACATATTCAGGTTTGTAATACTAGATTAGCTGTGCTTACTGAGACTGTTTTTGCTAGTGACCTTTCATTTTATCCTATCATTAATTTGGTTGCTATCTTTATCCTGCAACTTTCTGCATTTGACCCTGTTCCATGACTTCACCACATTCTTCTTCTGATATTCCAGGTCTAGAAGAGTCATTGAGCTTGGGTCTGGTTATGGTTTAGCTGGATTGGTCATTGCAGCAACCAGAGAGGCATTAGAAGTTGTGATCACAGATGGAAATCCTCAAGTAGTTGATTGTATCCTTTCACTTGGTTGTGCTAACTGCCAGGTTTTCAATGTGCTGATAATGTTGGTTTGGCCAAAGCCATATACATAGCAACTTGAATGTGGGAAGCCTCTTGTTTCTGGTATTGATTGTTTGATATCATATGAGCACTGATCTACAAGATCTCATGCAAATGCCATTTTATAACATCTTTTAGATTTTTTTTTTTTTTTTTTACTTCAAATTCTATTTAGCACTTCTTTGCAGGAATTCAATAACCCAATAATCCAAGACCTTTGCATATAGAAACTCAGTACGTAGGAAATTCTGAACTGTTTTTAATCTGGTAAACATTGAAGCTTTGTTCATTAGGTAGCAAAGGTTAAATGGCTGAATGGAGCCTAATAAGCAGCCCAGCCTAATCATATGGTAGTCATAAATAATTGATTATCCCAGCTTTAATCTTCCCCCTGACTTGAATTTTCAATTCATTCGTCACTGGATTACAGGGAATACTCAGGGTTTCTTTGCTTTATACTATTTGTAATGAAGCCCCAGTCATTACTTTTACCTTTTATACTTTCTTCGTGTTCTTTTTTGTTTTAAATTTTGAGGTTCCTTAATATCATGTTATCACTTTTCCTTAAGATTAAGACATTCAGCATAATGTAGATGCTAACTCTGAAGTGTTTGGTGACACAAAAGTGAAGTCTATGACATTGCACTGGAATCAGGACGAAATTTCCAATCTTTCTAATACTTTTGATGTCGTTATTGCAAGTGATTGGTAAGTCTAAGTCCTCTTATCTGCTAATTTTTCTCTTAAAGAGCACATGCACATGCATGTGCTGTTTCCTTTTTCTTCTTTCTGTTTTTCTTTTTTGAAAATGAAACCTAAGAGAATCATCAATTAGATTAACTACATTACTTAATTACTATAGATTGGATTAAGTGCTTTTATGACACCAGATAATGTCTTCCCTTTTTAATATTGGATAGCACGCAGTTGCTAGTTTTTGATGGGTCCAGCATTAGCCTGTACATGAAAAGTCCGCATTCTCATTTATATTTCATGGATAAGAATTTTATACTTTTATCATGCTTTGGTAATTGGACCCTGAAAAACTTCGTTTGTCAGCCACTATTTTTGATGGCCTGGAGATGTCTAATGACCTCAGTGTTCTTCACTAGTTGACAAAATTGCTAGTACCTGATGGCACAACTATGAGTACATACTGACTTGAGTTCATCACTTTTATGTAAAATTTGTCTCATTTCTTTGCCTTTATTTGTCATCTTGACAGCACCTTCTTTAAGGAATTCCACAAAGACCTTGCTCGAACTGTCCAGTGCTTGTTGAAGAATGTGGGGTCTTCCGAAGCTATATTTTTCAGTCCAAAAAGAGGTGACTCACTGGACAAGTTTCTGGAGGAAATCAAAGAAACTGGCTTGCATTTCAGCGTAACAGAGTACTATGACGCTGAAATTTGGAAGCGCCATCAAGGGTTCATGAAAGGTGATCACGACTGGCCTGGCTATGTAAAAGATCACTGCTATCCTGTATTAGTCAGAGTTACTCGATGAACTCACATCAAAGGAAAAATGAAAAAGGAATTACATGATGAACCTCTCTATATTCCTTCAACCACCAACACACATATTGCGCGCAGCACTTATATAAACGTCTGGTTGAAGGTCCTTTCTTGCTCGTTTGACCCATGTAGTAGGCTGAAATGATGGTTGTGCACTATATTTTTTATTATTATTAGTATTATTTTTGTGGCATATAGATATTCTCTTGTACATTCACTTCCCACACTCCTTTGTTTTTGCTTTTGCCGTTCATAAAATTTTGTAGGTCATGCTAATTTATGGCTTGCAAATAGGTATTGAAAGTGCAGGATTATCATCCCCATATCAATCCATTTTACTTTGACCTTACTTTTTGATCTTGAAATGGGGTGCGCGCACTGACACCTATTGACAGAAGATTCCTTATCTCCATTTGAGCATCAAGGTTATGTTGTGAGAACCTTTTTCAAGCAAAGACTAAACAAAGACCCTCCAACTTATAAAGGACGAAGCAGAAAATCGTCAACAAAGCCACTCGATGCTCTCTGGATACTTTAAACTAGCATTTTACATATGTGAGTAGGAATTCTGTTGTGCCATCTAATTTTATCTATATATATTTTTTTGTACAAGAAGAAGTTAATTGTTTTATATTACAAAGATTTAAATATCTGACTTTAATCATAAATTAAAATTTTTAATTTAGTAAATACTTATTCGATCCAATTATTGATTTCTAGTTTCATTTATATGTTCCAGCAATTAGACATAGATCTACGTTATTATACGTAGGGGTGGCACAAGGATGGGGCAATTTTGTGGTGCTCAGTCTAGTTGTATATCCTCGTTAGTGTGTGACATTACTACTCCATTGACATTTCGTTTTCTGCCTAGTCATTTATGCGTGAAATCATAAATTATGTAGTTGAAAAACTTTCATCAAATGGCAATACCTAAAAAATTTGGGAGACCAAAGTCCCTACAAGCTTATCATCCATCCCTTCTGAGAAAAAGTAGTTTTGTTTCTTTCTTTAATGGTTTTCCCCACAGTAGTTAGCACAGAATCTCTCACACAGTCTCTTTTTGGGACTGCATTTTGGATTGTTGCTTAAGTTGGCCTCTTTACCTTTTTATTTTTCTATCATCCTCGAACCTCACATTGCCTTCCCATCACATGTTTTGCACTATTAGCCCCCCACTTAATTATGGTGTCTATTCATTCATCCACTCCACCTCTCTCTTCGTGTGGCGTTCAGGATATGCAAAGATCATGCATAAGAAAAGGGTAGTGGTTGTGGCCACACAGCCATTCGTTTTAAGGCTACATGATTTGTTCAATTTTTTATCTTATTATTAAAAATAGTTAGTAATTAATTAAATAATTGATATTTATTGTTTAATAAATAAATATTTTTGAATATTATAATTAATTATTTAATAAAAATTATAAATTCATAAAAAAAATAAATAAATTACATAATCATAACAATTGGTCACCAAACTACATCCAAAACATAAAGAAATCATCCATAATAAAGAATCTTTTTGCTTTTATTTAACATCAAATCAGTCCAACCTCTAATTTGTTTTTAATTCTCTAGATCAAGACGAAATTACCCACCATGGATAATTGTTTCATATTTTTGACAATTGCAAGGCTCTTTACCCTGTTTGTGTAGAAGGGAAAGCTTTAGTCCAAAGAAAATGACTATTGGGTCTCTTTTTTTTTTTTGGTTTGACGGTAAAGAAAAAGATAACTACTAATTTTCGTGACGACATGCCCCGGTCCGTTTCCTCCATGTTTTTTCGTTTTTTTTTT